AGGTTTCCACCTTACAGATTCTGGCTTTCACAGGTTATACTGCATAAGAGTAGTGTGAAACTCCGTAATGACAGGCCCTGAGGCAACGTGAGGAGCCCTGGTGGCACAGTGGTTAAGCGTTTGGCTGCTAACCGAAAGGTCATCGGTTCAAACCTATGAGCCGCTAAACAGGAGAAAGCTGTGGCAGTCTGCTTCCATGAAGATTTACAGCCTTGGAAACCCTATGGAGGCAGTTGTACTCTGCACTATAGGGTTGCTATGGGTCAGAATCAACTTGATGTCAGTGAATTTGGTTTGGTTTGGAGGTAATGTGATTTTGATATGATTGGCAATTTTGTTTTCATAGTAGGCTCACCCTGGTCATTTCATTAACCTTGCAATAATGGGGCCTCACATTTTATGCAACTGAAATTTCTGGACCTTTTATAACATTATGGCAAGGGTCTTACCATTTTTGAGTCATTAAGGTACAAAGGTGACATAATAATTTTGAATACCTTGTGTACAATAGCACCTTCTGAAATAATTCAAAAGAAAAATGGTGTATATAAAAATGCGTTTATAAAGATAATAATTTGATTGTTTTTGGTTTTGTTAACTCACTAGACATGTATATTGAACTTTGGCTTTAAAATGTACATTCAGTTCAGATGTACTCATATGAAATGTACATTCAATTCAGAGCTATATTCATAGAGTACAGCTAGTATCTTGGAGAAAGAATCCTACAGTATACAGATCCTTCACAAACCTTAATGTGGATCCACAATCAAAGCCCATGGAAGAAGCAGTCAAGAAATCAAACAACGTATTGCATTGGGCAAATCTGCTGCAAAAGACCTTTTTAAAGTGTTAAAAAACAAAGAAGTCACTCTGAGGACTAAGGTGTGCCTGACCCAAGCCATAGTGTTTTTAATTGCCTCACATGCATGCGAAAGCTGGACAATGAATAAGTAAGACCGAAGAAGAACTGACACCTTTGAATTACAGTGTTGGTGAACAATATTGAATACACCATGGACTGCCAGAAGAATGAACAAATCTGTCTTGTAAAAAGCACAGCCAGAATGCTCCTTAGCATGGAGGACGGTGAGACTTCGGTTCACATACTTTGGACATGTTATCAGGAGGGACCAGGCCCTGGAGAAGAACATCATTCTTGGCAAACTAGAGCGTCAGTGAAAAAAAGGAAGACCCTCAACAAGATGGACTGACACAGTGGCTGCAACAATGAGCGCAAGCATAGCAACGATTGTGAGGATAACGCAGACCCAGGCAGTGTTTCGTTCTGTTGTAGACAGGGTTGCTATGAGTCGGAACCGACTCAAAGGCACCTAACAACAGATCTTACACCACAGGTGAGTTATTAAAAATTTTCTGGGTATCTTTGATTTCTCCCATTAACTTTCTCCTCTTTTTGTTAAACATTTCACTGTCAAAAAAAAGATGGAACTCCCTCAACCTAAATAAAAGGTATGATTCAATTATATAAAAAGTAATTGTATCCTGGAACAGCTTAAGTCACGAACAGCTTCCAAAAAGACAGCATTTAAAACCCTTGGTTCTTGGCAAGCTATTTTTAAAATAGGTATGATATGTTAGATGAAGAACTGTGTGTGTGACAAACAGCATTTAAAAAAATTCAAATACTTAAATACCAGGTTAAGGAAAATGGCAATTCAAGTTTAAACGGTTACTGACTCATTTCTATTCTTGAATTAATTAGGGGCGGCAAACAGTGCTACTCTATGACAGATATTCTTGTGACAGCTGTAGAGCATAATAATAAAACAACAGCTTGTTAATCACTGTATGTGTAGTGTAGCTATCACTATCTGGCACATAGCAAGTACTCACTAAGTATTTGCTGAATCAATCAATTAGTGAATTTGCCCCAAATTAGTTAATCACTATATAACCCCTAGTCTTTGGAAAAGCATGGGTCATTTATATCTTCAATTTTTGTGACTGGAAAAAGTTTCTTTAACCTATTGCTGAGTGCCATAAATGGTGTTTATTCTAATTAGCAACACTGAATAGGAACACAATATAGAAAAGACTGGATAATGCAGATGAACTAGGAAGGGAGCATATCATTCATGTTAGTAGGAGTTAAAAACCAAACAAGAAGTTGAAGGAATATAATGTCATTTTAACCAGCTTTTTCCCTTTTGTATAGGAATTTATAATAAATACAGCAAATAACTAGTGAATGGAAGAGAAAAACCAATACGAATGATATACAGGCAGAGAAAGGAAAAGGGAATCTATAAAAACCATTATTGTCATTTCCTCTTAAGACTCTTGTGGTTTAGTCTATCCAAAAATTTCATTATGACAATCATGTAATTACTACTCCAGTAAATATGCCTCTTATGTTCCATCAGTTTCAGCTAGGCCTTTTCTTCTTTCTATCTGATAAGTAGAAATCAAATGAGAGATCACTTTAAGATAACAGTTTAATTAAATGTCACAGGTATTCGAAACTAAGAAAATGAATCTGGCCACCATGGTTTTAGAGTATTCCATATTTTTGGTAAGAAAACTATCTTTGGGAATGCAGACTTAAATACTAGTATCAAATGGGGTGAGAAATTCTGTTGTGGAAATCTCGCTTCATATCTTTAGCTTTAAACTAACAAACAAGCTTAGTTTAATACATTCACAGAAATAACAGGTCATTCAGCCTGAATGCAGACTCTATGGACTGATACCTGCTACTGCTACTGCTAGGGGTTGGTGGGATTTGGTGGAGCTAGGGTACCAGACTGTGACACCATGGATGAAGCCTGGAAACGGAAAACATGAGAAAGAACACACCCTTCGGAAAACTCAGACTTGTCTCACAATAGTCACCACTCTTCCACCAAGGCTGTGAAACTGACTTCATCCAGAGTTTGGAGAAACGAACAACAGGAAAAAAAATTCTACCACAAACCAATGTCTCTCAAATAGGCAAGGGGCTGCCAACAGCCCTTGGCCAGCAACCTAGGGTAGTGGTTTGGCAATGACCCTGAATTCAGAGAGGAAAATGGCTATTCATTGTGTGCCCTGCTACCCTCCTCACTATGGAGGCTGTGGATCACAGTGCCAGGAATGAAGCACAGTTGGGGTTACTGGGGCTCCTCTAGGCCAGGCAGATGGCAAGCCCTTTTGGTTTAGATCACTTGCATGGGGCTGTGCCAAAAGCACGCTCATATCCCTATGATTGTCTCGCTGCCCACTCCCACACCCCCCTCCAACCACTGAAGCACTTCCTCAAAACCTCTAGAATCTTGAAGGGGTATTTGAAAATCACTAGTTTAGATCAGGGTTCAAAGCCCTGGTTTAGATTAACCCTGGTGGGCAATGGTTAAGCCCTTGGCTGCTAACCAAAAGGTCAGCGGTTTGAAACCCCAGGGGCTCTGTGGGAAAAAAGACCTGGTGATCTGTAAAGACTGTTGTTGTGTGCTGTCAAGTCGATTCCGACTCATAGTGACCCTAGAGGACAGAGTAGAATTATACCATAGGGTTTCCTAGGCTGCAATCTTTATGGGAGCAGATTGTGATGTCTTTTCTCCTGCGGAGCAGGTAGTGGGTTCAAACCGCTGACCTTTGGGTTAGCAGCTGAGTGCTTTAACCACTGCTCTAGCCTAGGAAACCCTATGTGACAGTTCTATTCTGTCACACAGGGTCACTATGAGTTGGAATCGACTTGGTGGCATACAACAACTCAACTGATGCACGAATTCTTTGTATAGCGTCCCTGACAGATGTTTGCCTAATTCTTCTTGTAAACTTAGTGCTGCAATATGTTCCAGGGGAGCTTATTCTGTCATCGAGCAGATCTGACTGTCAGAAAGTATTTCCCAATATCAAGTCCAAATCTGCCACCCTCCTACTTCCATCTTTTGGTTCAAGTTCTGCCTCTTAAGGCTGCATGGCATAAATCTGTGCTATCCCCTTTTCTTTGACTAACTAAATACTACGTACCTGTTAATACCCATTTTAAGTCCTATCTCTTCTGTGCTATCTGTCCTAACAACCCCTCCTACAGTGATCTCTGTGTCCCTGCAGTTCCGTTACGTATACTGTATGGATCACTCCTTGGCACTTCTGCTTTACAGTCTTAGTTATCTTTAGTATTAGGAACATGGATTATGTTCCTAATATGAACACAATCTCCTTGAGGGCTGGACAGTCTCAGTCTTTTTAAAAATGTCTACCTGAGTATCTCCACATCACATTGCAGTGAGGTAGACAAATACACCAGAGTGTACACAGGTCCTTCATGAACTGGTTCTAACAACAATTGGTTTACTTATCTCCTACTATACTTCCTTACAAAAATTCTCCACTCTAATCAAATCCAACTGCCAAACCATACCTTATGTCTTCCTCCTTTATGCTTCCCATCTCAACCCCTCCCTCTAGGTCAGAGAGTATTAGCTTGGGGTACATGAACTTCTGGACATTATAACACAAAATACACTTTTTTTTTTTGTGGGAGAGAAGTTTTCACAGCTTTTATACAACCCTCAAAGGGTACCATGACCACAAAAAAGATTAAAATCTACTGGTGTAATATCTGTTTGTCCTCTTTGCTTAACCAAGTCTTCCCTCAGTCTTAAAGGCTGAGCTCACGCCTCTGAAGCCAGGGAACCTTCCAGATGGAGGAGGCTTTCCTAGGCTCTGAACTTACATCAATTCTACACCATTAATTTGACTGATTTATTATGCACTTTGTGAAAACTTTAAAAGTAGTATCTTCATTGTGAGCTGATTCTTTTATTTAATGTAAAGTCTCATGACTGCAAACTCTTTATAGCAAGTTCATACATATATACATTGGGTTACATGTGCTACTTTGTACAAAGATAATAAATAATAGTATGGACACAAAGATGATGAATCATCTTCAAATTAATTAGTGTGCAGAAACTGAATTCTAAAGATGCACATCACAGCTGGGACATTATCTCTGGAGCTGGGCAAAATGCCAGAAATAGCTGCCATCTCACCTCTGCTTTACGAATATTTTCTCTAGCTTCATCTATTTTCTGTTCCAGTTCTGCTCGGCTTTGTTCTGATGCTGCAACTCCATGACATTCCAGCTCATCCAGAACCTATTAAAGAAAACAGGAAAATGATGACTGTTTTTCCTTTTTCTAGTTTTTCCTTAAGTGACTAAATTATTTAGATAATTCAGAAGACTTTAGTTACTAATGGCCATGATTCCTTTTTCATCCTTAGTTTTTCATTTATTTATTTACTTAAAAATGTTTTTAAATCTTGAAATAATTATAGACTCACAGGAAGCTTCAAAAGTAATAGAGAGAGGTCCCATTTACCCTTCTTTTACCTTCCGCCAAAGGTAACTTACATAACTATAGAACAATATGAAAACCTGGAAATTGGCACAATCTATAGACTTATTCAGACTGCATACCTTTAATTTTTAAAAATTACATGAATATAGAGTACTGTTGAAAAACAAAGCAGCAATAGTCCCTGTTATACCTGCATATCTCACCCTGTATTCTCCACCCCAAGATAACCATTGATTGCCCTATCAGTCTATACGTACTTTTAGACTATTTCTTATGCGTTTCCATACACAGTTGCATGAACAGAAATAGCTTTATTTAAAAAAAAAGGAAAAAGATGTATACAGTATTATTTTTCCCCTTAGTATGTCTGAGAAACCTTTTTATGTTTGTACAAATAGATTGATCTCATTCTAGTTAATCCATAGATTCAAGTTTAACTGTACCATATATTATTTCTTATTGTTACATGAATTTTTAAATTTACTGACATTATAAATAGTACTGCACAAACAACCTTGTCAATAACTTTTTGAGCGCACATAGGAATATTTATTTAGGATGAAAACAAAGAAATGGAAATTGTACATTTTAATAAAAGACATTACCAAACTGTCCCCAAAAGGTTGTTATCTCTTCAACTAACAGTGTGTGAGAGCATGCTTCCCTACATCTTAACAACATTGGCCAGTTAATATACTCTATTTTTCTAATTTTTGAGCTCTTAAAAGGTGAGAACTTTCTCTGGATGGAATGAGATGAGAGATTCGGCAGCAGGGGACGTCAGAGAGATTCCAAGCATCAGAAGGCTTCAATGCACCATTCCTGGCTCTAAAACGTAGGAGCTTATGTGCAAAGACTAGAGAGAGTGGCATCTAGGAGTTAAGGGCAGTTCCAAGCTGACAGCCAGGAGGAAATAGGGACCTACAGTCACAAGGAACTGGATTCTGACAGCAACATGAGTAAGTCTGGAGTAGATTCTCCCTCAAGGTCTCCAGATAAGAGCTCAGGCTGGCAGATACCTTGATTTTGGCCTTGTTAGAGCTGAAGCAGATGAACCAGCCAAGCCTACACATACTTCTTCTGACCTACAGAACTGTGAGCTAATATATCTATGTCGTTTTAGTCCACTAAGTTTGTGGTAATTTGTTACGGCAGAAATAGAAAACTCACACAATCATCAAGTATAATGTTTGCTGTTTTAGGAAGATATCTTGTTAGACTGAAAAAGTTTCAATCCAGCTTGCTCGGGATTTTGTTTTATTTTTTAATCACTAAGGGATACTGAATTTTATCAATTGTCTTTTTGGCAAACATGAAGATGATCACATACTGTTTCATCTTTACTCTGTAAATACAACTTATCATACTGATAGATTTTCCAATGCTGAATCATCTTTGAACCTGAATGAATTTAAAACATAGCTGGATTTACATTTTAAAAATTTATTTAGCATTTTTAAAAGTTAGTTATACATCTGCTGAAAATCACTTGACCATATATGCATGGGCCACTTTCTGGTCTATTTTATTTCATTCATCTATCATCTATCCTATGTCAATACCACAAAATCTTGATTACTGTAGCTTTTTGCCTTGAAATCAAGTAGTGTTGAGTCCTACAAATTTGTCCTTCTTTTACAAAATGGTTTTGGCTATTTCTGCATTTCCATATATGTTTTATATGGAAATAAAATTCTATTATGTATAAAATACTAGAGTTGCATTTCCATATATGTTTTAGAATCACCTTGTCAATTTCTACAAAAAACCCTGCTGAACATTTGACCTGGATCAAGTTAAATATATAGATCAACTTGGCAATAACAAGTATCTTAAATTTATCAAGACTTCCAATCCATGAACACGGTATATCTCTCAATTTATTTGGTATCTTTAAATCCTTTGGCAATATTTTGTAGTTTTCAGTGTACATGTCTTACCCTCCTTTTGTTAAATTCATTCCTAAGTATATAATATTATGGTTTTTGGGTGTTATTTTAAATAATATAGATCTTTAAAAATTCTAATTTCCAGTTGTTTGTCTATAGCATATAGAAATACAATTAATTTCTGTGTACTAATCTTGCATCCTTCGACCTTGCTAAATTCAGTTATTAGTTCTACCAGCTTTTTCGTAGATTCCTTAGGATTTTTTTATGTACCCTGATCATGTCATCTGTAAATAAGTTTTATTTTTTCCCTTCCAATCTATATGTCATTTATAATTTTTCTGCAGTATAATGTTAAATAGGCGCGCAAAGAATGAATATACTTGCCTTTTCAACTATCTTAGGAGGAAAGTGATAAGACATTTACTGTGATATATCCCACAGTTCCTTAGACTCTATTTTCTTTCTGTTCCTTAAATTGGATTATTTTAATTTTTCTATCTTCGAGTTTGCAGATTCTTCTGCCAGCTCAGATTGGCTGTTGAGTCTCTCTAGTAAATTTTTTATTTGTTATTGTACTTTTCAGCTCCAAAATTCTTTTGGTTCTTTTTCATAATTTCTATCTCTTTACTGGTATTCTCATTTTGTTCATAGATTGTTTCCAGATCTCCTTTAATACTTTATATTTTTCTTTAGCTCTTTCAGCATATTTAAGACTTGTTTTAAAGTCTTTCTAGAGTTAGTCCAATGTCTTGGTTCAGAGATGGCTTCTGTTGCTTTCTGTTTCTCTACGTGCCTTATAATCTTTTGCTGAAAATGGTACATTTCAGTAATATAATGTGGTAGCTCTAGAAATCAGATCTTCCCTCTTCCTCAGGGTTTGCTGGTTTCTCCCTCTCTTGTTTTATTGTTTTTGAAGGCAGTAGTAGTAGTCTGTTGGTTTAGTGACCTTTCCAAACTATTTTTGCAAAGATTGGATTATTAGACATGTGTGGTTCATGGAAGTCTTGTGCCTTTAGCTTGTATTCAGCTATTGTTTTCATCTTTACTCTGTAAATGCAGTTTATCATATTGACAAATTTACAAATGTTAAATCGTTCTTTAAACTGAAGTAGTCATTAACTAATGAATTAGACAGAGATTCCTTCAAAAGTGAAAAAGAAAAAGAAAAGAAAAAAAACAAGCAAACAAAAGAAAAACAACAGACGGGGAAAAAAAAAAACAATCAAAAAAACAAACCACTTCTTGCAGTCTTTGTAGACTGACTCTGTGCTGGGCACTTCTTGAAAACTTAGCCAGGTTTACACTGGGCCTAGAGATCAGCCTGAGGTAAAAGTTTAGGTCTTTTCTGGGCATATGTCTTGCCTTGGGCATGCAAGCTGCTTTCTAAATTCCCTGGTATTCACAGGTGCTCTGAATACCCCAACTTCCCAAAGAAATTCTCTTCCCAGTTCCTTGACCTTACCCCAAATTTTCTATTGTGCGTCTTAATTGCCCTCTCTTGCCCTAGGCAGCTACAGGCTTTTCAGTATGACCGCTACTCCTCCACCCTGCAATACCTCCAAGATGGACAAAACAGAGATGTGCACTTTGCTCCAGTTCTTCAGGTTGAACCTGACAGGTTCAAACAGACAAATATAGTAATTTATGCATAAAGTGTAGTCTGCTCCTTTTAGAACCCAAGACCAGGGTCCCAAACTGGAAACATGGGTTGCCGCTTAAGCTGGGAAGAAGCACAATACATTAATAAAAAGTCTCAAAATTTTCCTAACATTTTCTTCATGTTACCACTTTCCTGACTCAGTGTTCATTTGGTTGCTGTGGAACCTCTGACTGTTTACCAGAGATTAAACAAATTAGTTCTGATACATTCCACCCATTTAAAAAAAAAAAATTTTTTTTTTTAACGTAGTTTAGATGAAGTTTGACAGAACAAATAGTTTCTCATTAAACAGCTGGTACACATATTGTTGTATGACATTGGTTAACAACCCCATGACATGTCAACATTCTCCCTTCTCGACCTTTTTTAAAAATTTTTTTTGGTGAAAATACACACAGCCAAAGAAATACCATTTCAAAAATCTCTACATGTACAATTCAGTGACATCAATTACATTCTTCCACTTGTGCTACTATTCTCACTATCCTTTTCCAAATTATTCCATCACTATTATCTTCAACTCACTGTCCCCTAGGCTATCCATCAAACCTTTTGAGTTGCTGTTGTCAATTTGATCTCATATAATTTTTTTTGTACTTTAGATGAAAGTTTACAAAACAAATAGTTTCTCATTAAACAGTTAGTACACATATTGCCCTATGACAATGGTTAACAACCTCACGACATGTCAACACTGTCCCTTCTCAACCTGGGGTTTCCAATCACCAGCTTTCCTGTCTCCTCCTGCCTTCTAGTCCTTGTCCCTGGACTGCTGTGCCTCATTAGTCCTGTTTTGTTTTATGGGGCTGTCCAATCCCCGGCTGA